CTTTCACAACGGAGGAAAGGCACCAACTCAACGTCGAGATATCAATATTGAAATTTAATTTAATTGTGAGGCAGGTTGAGACGTGGATGCTTGAGACGTGGACAATTTATGGGTTTCTCTGAGTGAATTTAAGTATCACTACAAAATTGCATATTGTGGAAAATTTCGAAATATTATTGGGACACATTTCTGTGTTCATTTCGGTGTTCTGAAATGGTTCAAAATTAAATTTTTGTAAGTTAGAGAAAAACGTAAACGTAGAGCTGATCATTAATTGATTAATTACACACATTCATTAAACTGCTCGTGTGCAGTTGTGTCTCTCTGTGAAAGTCTCTGTCTCTGTGAAAGTCCGGCCTTAGTTCATGGACGTTGTGGCGTGAGAAGCAGTCGTCCAGCTTTCTCATTTCGCCAATCTCATACGGTGCCTTGATGATCGTGGTTTCTTCCATTTAGAGAAATCCTACATAAGGTTGGTGCCCATAATTTACATTGACTTTCTCCACGCTTGTAAGTTGGAAACCTGACTATGTACACACTGATTATGGAGATGAGGACCAACTTTTCGACCAAGGTTTCTTCTCGTTGAAATTTAGGAGCATGTATTGGTTGCGGTTTTCCTATTTTCACTCCACGTCCAGCTGAGGAGTGCTAGTAGCTCCTCCTGGCAGCGTGACAGACAGACGGACACGACTGGACGATTATACTATTTAGTTATTAAAATACCAAGCAAGGGTCGCATTTACGAGGGTGGTTCCAAAAATACTTAGAAACGGTATGTTAGGCACAATTGCCCACCAATTTATAATAATTTTTATCAAATTTTAACATATTTAGGACGGTGTTGCTTTTTTCAGATTGATCGGTGAAGAATTGACTTCGTACTAGCTCCGCAAACTCAACCTCGACCGTAAAAATGTCAGATTTCCAAATTAAATATCGAGGGGTTATTGAATTTTTAACGCTGGAGGGGCAATCTGCGACACAAATTCATGACCGTATGCTTAAAATTTACGGCGAACAATGCCCTTCAAAAGCAACTATATACAATTGGATAAATGAATTCAATAGGGGACGAACATCGGTGACAAACGTACCACCTCCAGGACGCCCGAAAACAGTTAGTACGGCTGAAACCTTGTCAACACTTGAAAAAGTGGTTATGTCAGATAGAAGATTTAAATTATCTCAATAAGCTATGTCTATGGGCATACCAAAAACAACAATTTATCGTATGCTAACTGAAGATTTATTTCACCATGAAAATGACTACGATGTTTACATCATGATAATTAAAGTTTATGTAAGTTAATTGGCAAATTTGTTTATTTTTGGCATACAAAACCTCAACGAGGAATAGGTTTAATCTAAGAAATAATAAGTCGAGTCGAGTCTCGTAATAATTACGGCAGCAACACACACATACATATATACATATATATGCAGGCTTATTCAGCTTCTTCATATGCAAACACAAGTTATCATTATGATCATTCCAAAACACTTATAAATCAAATGTTCCTACCATTCATGCGGTATGGAAGCCCAAATTGTAGATGTGTATAATTTGCTCGATCGGGATTACTGCAGTCGTTACGGGGTTATACGCAAGATATAAAGTTGAAAAAATACTAGCACCTTCTCATCATGGCTCTTTGTTGTTTCAACTTTATTCGAGGAATCTGTACGTATCCCACCAACCTTGGAAAGAACACTTTTTATCCGGCTTATTTTCGGTGCATGGTGCCTAATGACAATATTTTTAACAAATTGCTACAATGGGTTGATGATCACTGAGTTAAATTCTCCGCTAAAAGGTTTTACCCCAAAGACATTTCCAGATCTACAGTGCCTCGGAAAATATAAGAATAAGAGCAGCGTCGTCGATAAGAAAATACTAATTCGCTCAAACCAAGATTACATTCATAGACAACATAGCCTTGGGGAGAGGTTGGATTTAAACATACGTCTACTATTCGAATACCATAGGCAACGTTACAATATAAATGCCGAAATAAAATTCGGTAGACGATATGCAGATCACAATTGCTTTAGCCTTCTATCAGGTAAATCATCATTTCCGACTGGGTTAGGATATTTCAAATTTTACCGATTTCTATCCAATCATTACTTTAAGTGGATGTTAGACCTGAGAACAAATAAGGTAAACTCTACGATCCACCTCCCAAATTTTGTTCGAATTTCTCTGAATTTTTTTAATCCAGTCCATTCTCATTCACCGGACGAATTTCTACCCACACCTGGATTTACATCCCGTCCGATCAGAGATAAAAATGATGTCAGAACACCGATTGAAGTGCAAATTACGAAATGTGGAAAGAGTGCATTTCTCGAGCGTACACTCTAAGAAACTGGGTGATAGCCACGATCACCGCGCGAGCGGAGATATCAAGTATCACCGTCACTGTGATAAATCTGTCACCAAAATCTATCACCATTGCTGGTAATAGACGCTACCACCGTCCATGTTGGTAGCGTCTCTGCACGTGACTCTCAGAGTGGCGAGTTTGTCCTACTCCACGCACCAGACACAAGTAAAGCACCCGACCAGCAGTGAATCCTTCAATACTCCACCCAAATATTTGTAAACTTATTGACAAAAACTCAATTAATTGTTAAACAACATTAAACAAATTGATATTTTAACCAATTTTAGCAACCTAAATTTTGTTTCCTTTCTATATCGAAAGAGCTGGATGTGGACGCAAATATTCGCCTGAATGACGAAGAAGTATTTATTTCCAGCCGTCATGCCATCATCCCCGTTAACTACGGTAAAAATTATGGTTTTCATTAGTTTCCATTAATCATCCGTTTATTATGTCTATGATAATATGCTTAATGTATACTAATAGGTGAATCATCAGTAATAATTTCTTGTTAGAGAACTTAAACTGGGTCATCCCAGTACAAGAGGTATTTTTTTAAGCAGAAAATACTTATATACATACATAAAATTGAGTAACTTGTTTTATCGCAGCTGTAATTAATATTTTTTTTCTGTCAGGTCATCCATGCTTTAATCGATGTCAGGCCAGAAGTAACGAAAACAAATTGTTGATAGTGCAGCATCTGTTTTAATCAAGAAAGTCATAGAAAAGTTGGTCCAATTGAAAGGGCAAAGTTGAAAAATTTAATTATGAAATTATGTAATTTTACATATATAAAATATTAAATGATCCGTTAAATTATTTCTGAATAAAAAACTAAATGCAATAGAAAAATGTGAAATTATTTGCACTTATGCATCACCACACAGTGACAATGAGAGCTAAAAATGGTGGTGGTCTATCACCGCCCGGTGGTAGATTACTACCATTCCGGTAGAGTCACATATAGTCACCGCTCGGTGACAATCCGGTGGTAAAATTTCTTAGAGTGTACAGATGAACTCAACGCTGAATATGTTTTTTTTATCAAAATCATATCCACACATAGACTTTCACAAGGAAAAAGATCTCATGGAACCGGAACCATTTGGGTATGTGTTTCAGAACCCGGGTAGCTCAAGAATTCCCGGGTTTTATATTTCGATGTGGGAAAGTGGAATTTACAATAGGCTAATTCAAGAAGAGTGGAGGGGGAGAATGCAGAAGAGAAAGCCAGTGGGAAAGGAATCAACGAAAGAGTCAATGCTTAGTGGTGGATTAATAACACTTTTATTCTGTGCGGGGTCCTGGTTTCTGCCGCTAGTTCTGCATTGGTCTTGGAATGTTTAAAGTAATTTTTCATAACTGCGTCAGCTTTTGTGTAACTTTTTATAAGAAGATTACAAAGGTTTTCAATTACTTTGCTCGTACATACGCACATACATACCTACAAGTTAAAGCAAAATAATCATGTCTGTGTTCCAATTAGAGATATATTTCTTGCTCCTAAACTTGGGCTTGGTTGGAGCATTGAATTCAAACTAGACAAGGACTACTTCAAAAACGTTAAGACAAACCGGTGTCAATGTTCAAGTCTGGGTTGCACAACCTTTCAATCAACCTAATCAAACATCTTTATGGAAAGTCTGAAGCAAATCCAGGCAATTTCCCGTAAGAGAACTAATTTATAGTAAATATTGAGCAAGTGTACCGTATTTTTAGGGGATGAACAAGTTTAGAGTATCCATCATGGCAATTTTGTGAATTTTGCAACAAATAAATTATTCCAATTGATCATTATTAAAGTTCCCTTTGTGTACATGAAACTTGATTTTCAATTTCTGTAGTGCCCGAACATATCCAGAGGAAATTTGTGTTATGTTTAACAATCAAAAATTGGAATTATTGTAGTGTCATTGTCACAAATAAGTATATAGCAGGTTATGTTATGATATTTGGAACAGAAATCAAATTGTCACAATGTCATATGTATCCAATATCTTGTAACTCTAGAGGACTTGCTCCTTGTAAGAATTTGTGAAACACACCGTTATTATTATTGTACATAACTACTCCAATTTGCAAACCTCTACATCAAGAAAATCCAAAATCATAAAGTTGTCACTTTTTCAAGGAGCTATGTTCGCCTGGGTTAGAAATGGAAATTATGATAAGGAATAAATTTTTGCAACAAGGTTCGAAAAGGGTAAAAAGGAAATAGCTTATGCATGGTTTTTTGACGTGTATATTTGCACTCTCTGTATGGGACTATCCCGTATAAATTTGTCAAATCTCCCAATCGAGCTGAAGTTTTATTTGCAAGTACATATTGTTAAATTATCCGGGTTAGAAGTATTTAACAAATATGTATGTATCATCGGATATTTGGGAGTTATGATTGGTTAACATCCGATCTACATTTAACCAAGAATGATTTAACACATATTATCTTATTATGTAGCATAGGTTATAAAAGAATCGTGATGATGATTAACAAATCAGTCTCTAGAAATATATGATTCTAATCGAATGACTAAAACTTCAACACATATTTAATGATTTATATTAACGCTAAAATTCGACAATAGTTATCTTTTGTATTTTGTTTTTGTACTCTTAAACACATATTCAACAAAGGTGCATTTGTTTATTTTACATAAATTGATATTACATAATCATGATTTCAAACGGGTTTAGCAATTCGCACAATGTTTGGCTGTTTCTGTTCCACCTTGTCACAAAAGAGGCACGGGCACCTTTCCGTGTGTCTCTTAACAGACCTCACTCTTATCGAGGAGGTATTGTAATTCGTATTATCCACACAGGCAGGAAAACCGATGTAATTGACGGCTGGATACAGCAGCCAATAAGAACTGCGACCGGTGACTATAACAGATCTGTAGGTAAAGTCCACATCCGGGATGTCATCAGCCACTAGGGTATGTTCTCCCTTGAAGTCAGCTGCCGGGTAGAAATTAATGCTCGGTGCGTTTATCGATCCGGGTACTCCTGTCATTCTCAGGGATTTGGGACGAGATCCTGTAAATGATTTGACACAGCCTGAAGTCTCCCATTCCCACTCGGAAATGTATGAATATCCACTGCCTGTAGTGTAATTTTCCGCTCCGTGTAAAATCCAACTGGTGTAAAGAGGGGAAAACATTAATTCGAGCGAGAGGAGAATTTAATTAATAATTAACTTAATTTGTCGCAAAAATAATCATATTTAAAATTCATATTATTACAAAAATCTCTGGTCTGTGCATAAAAACCAGACCAAATTCTTACTAAAAATTTGAATTAATAATGTGGGTATTCATTGCAAGTTCGCACAAAATTTTGACTCGAAAATTGATTTCCGAACGTTCCCATTTCCAGTGCAAGTATTTTATTCGCCTATATTAGTCACAAGTTTGTTGCGATGCGAACATGCGAACTCGGGCCCTCAATACTAAAATTTTGAAAATGTATTTCAACAGAATGAAAACCATAAGAATTAAAATACTGAGGGCTAAATTGTGAATTTACTGATCTGGATTAATCAAGTGTTCATTTTGGCTGCTTCCGTTAAAAATTCAGCTCCTCTTAATTCATATATCTTAATTATTTGCTAAAATATATTCAAATTTCATTCACAAATTATACTCACTTTCCATGCAGGCAATAAATATAGTCTGGATTCTGTTCACTGCCCTCGTAAAACAACTCGTACTTCGTCAAGTCTGGGATGTCCCTTTCCGAGTACATGTTGAAGGGACCCACGCTGTCGTACAAACTGTACAAGTGGATGAATGGCACTTGCGCGACGGCAAGGGCAAGAAACGACGAGATAAGAATTGCTCGAAACATTTTTTAACTCAAGATTTCTTTAGTTATTTTTGATCGGAATTTAATTAATTACAGCTGAAGTAATATCAATCCAATGAACGGGCAAATTATGTGCAAATACAGAGTGAGCAATCCCTTTTTATTCTTTTGGTTGCAACGCAATACAAATTAATTAATTGTCTATGTGCCAGTCATACTGATATTATGAGATAATTTATATCGAGCCATGTTCTTTTTTGAAGTTCAAGTGTATCGCGTGTTTCTCACTTGGAACAAAGTTTGACTCCGTTTAACGGACGAACGAGTCGAGATGAAAGGTTGGTTCTTCCGCAATATTTTGGGGTGTTGGTCGTACATGATAAAACAACATGTCAATCATGCCGTTATTCATCATGCCAACCGTGTGACATACTAATTGTGACATAGTTTTATGCACGTAAAAAATCGCTGCACTTTGAAACTTGATGTTGTGATGGATCCTCATAATTGGAAGCCTGTTCCGACCCAGGGTTTAATTGTGATGGGGTTTCTGCCTTTCAAATGACACTTTCGGTTCTACTATATTTGTATCATTGGGATTTTACTGGGATTAACATACGTCAAATTTAATGAAATAAGTAAAACAATCTTCAGAAATCGATTGCACCAATTTGTACATTATTTCACAATTACATGAACTTTTGCATTTAATAATGTTACCCTCACCCATTAAGTCAAGCCCAGTACCAACCAGGAAATCCCGTCTAAAACCTAATAATACATATCAAATCCAATGGGTTGTTCTAATACAAGGTCCGGTGTTAATTTGTCACGGAGTGACATATTATGTGAATCAAGCGCCTTGGTGTTAGGTGTGTATATTTACCAAGTGGTAGCGATTTATCCACAACCAGTTTCAAAATTTATATCATGCGGTTATAAACTAAACATCGCGACGTTAGAGTCACATATGGACATTACGCGATCAAATTTTTTTTGCAGTGTAGTAAAACTCAGGTTTCCCCTAACCTTAATTATTAATTAAAAATGTACATGTGTATCCCATCTCTGCTGTACTGACGAGTAACTGATTGAGAACTAAAGAGACTCAAATGACATTAGTCATTTAGCTTTGAATCCTTATAAACTAAACTAAACTATATGTACCTGGGCATTCTTATAAATATATTATAAAATATTTATTTAGATATTTTATAATATATTTTTCCGCCCACAAGATTAGCAACGATGTCTGTGACGAGAGTCAAGTCAAGATAAGAGCCGGGCTCTTATCTTGACTTGGCTTATCCTCGTGACAGCTTAAAGAACATCGGTCTCTCTGATGTACTTGAACGTAGAAACTTGACTTTAAATATGCCTCTTTTTACTTGAAACTGGTAAAATACTGCTCCGGATGACTAATTTGTGCCAACTCAATAAATTATTTAATTGACAAACGAATAACTGGTTTGCAATAATTAAAATACTGAAATTTATTAGATTCAACCGTGGCACTTTAACAGTAATGATCCTCTCTCCTCGAGCTCTACTTACATACTTTCTTCTTATACCTACTTATGCTACTATTTGAGTGACGCGTCATTACGGCATGCTACTTGGTTCTAAAAGGATCGATAGATGGCGCGGTTGCTGCCATAACTCACCCTTTGCCCCCTCAGCACCAAACCTCCGCTTACTTTGCAAGCACTAAAATGATTAGCTTGGGATAGATAGATATTACTTGCATGTATCCATAAACTATTCTTTAAATGTAAATTTACTTGAACTATTGGAATTTACTGGCCTTCTTGCTAGAATAATTTTTCCTGTACAAATCTACAATGTTATTCTTATGGGAATACAAATGACCATTCAAAAAATGGGTGTGGTTCCAAAACTAAATTTCTGGGACTATTATCGTATCTCAAAGCTAATACTTCAATCTAACTATTTGTAGCACTTAGTTAATTTGCAAAAAAATACTTAAACGAAATTAAATGAAATGACTTAAATAAATGAAAAAACTGACTTAAACTAATTTAGCATATGCCCTCGCCCCCACAATGTCAGCAACGACTTTAGATTTATAAATATTAATGCTATAGATACTAATAATCTGGAAACTTATTTCATTTCTATGAGTAGTTTTATAAAGAGAAGCAAGCAGAACGATATGAACATTTTTTACGCAATGTTTCTATGGCGCACGCAATTACGATAGGATGCCTTAAATTATGATCAAAACAAATACATATTCTGGATGGTATTTTTGGGTTTGGACATTAATCACGCCAATGAGAAATTGTGATTTAGACAATGTTGTGCTAAACTAGCGGTGATTAATGACAGTTCCTTTTGCATACCATCCGAAGCTTTCGATATGACTAAATTATTTGGTTGTTGGTCAGTTCTAATGCTCCATTATGTCTAATTTGGTTACAATTTGGCGATCTAATCCAATTCAGACGGTTAGGCAAGATTATACATATAATATTACCTTAAATTTTTGGATAAAGTATTTCGTCAGTGAATCCTATCGGTATTTTTAGCGTTGTCACCACCCTCTATGCACGAACGTAGCCATCACACTAATTGATTTGCTTCTCAAGCTGTCAAGAAAGTGTGTAAATTATTCATGACTAGAAAATATTGATTTCAAACTTTGACTTTGACTTCAACCAATATTGTCGCCATCACAAGCCAATGTTGGGTTGGATTGTATCTTTTTTTGATATATGACCTCACTCAATCAGCCCCTAGTTTGAGTAGTACTTGCGACTTCTAGTGAACACATTATAAATAATCCGGGGGTGACAATATATATATATATATATATGACTCCAGCGGAGTATGATAATTAACAACTAAATACAATTACAAATACCTACAATTAGCCATGGTATAGTGTGTAGCAAACCTACATATGTAGACGCGGTGCCAAAACTTTTCCCCTGTCCAAATATCAATGCAGTGGTAATAGAAATGTAACCGAAGTTGTTAACAATCTGTCTCTCCGGGAAGACATATTGTACTTATTTATAATTCCCAGTTGTAGAATAATTGAGTTGTTCAACCAGTAATATTATCGTTTACTAATTATTTCGAGTGTTCCTCCACCACTTCGATAAACCATCACCTCAGCAGTGCCCATTATTATTCTAAACCTGAATCCCATGGCAGACGTGCTTTGCTAACAGATTTATGTATCGGCACTGTCACAAATGATTCAGTCCCACAAATCGTGCCACGATTGTGGGACTGAGTGGGTAAGCTTAAATATACTGTTCATGGTAATGCCTTGATAAATAGGGTAGTGTTTGGAAACGTGGAAAATCTAAGGAATAATCAACTTGATTGTTAAGGTGATTAGTGTGATAATTGATTAGGACGAAAGAACTGGACTCACTTTCTCTCATTCTCGGGAATGGCATACCAAATACATACTTATCTATAAACACAACGATGCCAATGTTACCCCATAATTTGATTTGCTTCGGGTTGGCGATTCTTATATCCGACTCTATGGTTGAAAGTGTTTGGTGTGACGTCTTTCACGATGCCGACATCACCTACGTCTTCACTCCCGCATATTTTACGAAACTGGATGTGGAGGCTGACTTCCCTTATTTTCAAGCTGTGAGGCAAGCTAACTTATACGCACCGTTCCGAACCATCGTCCTCTATAGTGGTTACTTTGGCTTATTTTCTATCACACGCGCAATGGATTTCAGTGATTATAAGTATCATGATATAGAAAGAACTGCCAGATATAGGACTATTTTCTTTCCGTTGGACTCGACCACTGGATCATCTCTGTGGAATAAATTCAAATGTGAGTACCTGATTTACTTGGCTAGTGTCAAACTGCTACATGAATACGTATTTGCTCAAATTTTTCGACACAGGCATGCTTCCGATGGCCTTACAAATATTTCGGAACCGTGAAGTTGGTCCTTTTCGAGAATGTGGTAAATTCGCCCCTCTTCGTTCCATGTTTGACATGTCGCCCAGTAGAATATTTACGAATGATGGATGGAAATTCTGTTCAAGATATCGGTTTTGGGACGCTCAGAATAGGAACAAGCGCAAATACTCAATTATATGGTGAGATACTGTTAACGCAACGTGCAGTCTATTCCACAGTGGATTCAGAAATCTCAAGCTCGAACACTTCTGTGACGTATCTCTCATTTCGGAAAAGTATAATTTGACCTTGCTAGAGAGAAATGATGGTGATGACGGTGTGCCTTCCTTCATCAATGGGACGTTCGGCATAGCCCTAGAAAGCCATTTGAACACAGATATGTCGGATAAAGTATATGAAAGTCGTTTCATACATCAACTTCGCCTTGTGTACACCAATTTGTTTACTTGTACCCGAAAACCGTCACCAGTTGGTGAGGTGTACACTTTCGTGACTGTCTTCGACGTAGATACCTGGACTTGCCTGTTAGCTTGTATCTTATCGGTCGCGGGGTTTTTGGACATTGCTGGCACGGCAGGAGGAAGACCGGAATGTTTGGACTACCCTTATTAACAAGCTGATAACCGTGACCTGCATTCTTCTCGGTCAGGTTGGAGAAAGTGCCGGAAGGTCATCCCATGCGGGCAAAGCTGCCATGGTTTTCCTTACTTTGTGGTTCTTTGGAAATTTCCTCCTCATGATGAATTTGTATCAGGGCTCGATTTATTCATTTTTGGCAGTTCTACTCCCTCCTCATACTCCCGATTCGATGGAAGAACTTGTCAACTGGGGCGGACCAGTTGTTGACCCCGATGTCAGTTTCAGATCCCGCGACGGGTCAATGGAATCCGTACTTCTTTACTATATTATTCCACACCTACTCAATAGTATCCAAAATCCTCGAAGTAAAGGATTCCTGTTGAAGTTTGCAAACAAGGTTTTGTCCATCCAGAACCCATCCGTGATGGAGATGGTAGACAGAAGTTATGCCGAGAATTCTACCCGGGCTGATCAAACGATGACATTCATGCTGCCAGATAATCTAATAGTCCAAGAAGCGAAGCTACGTGAAGTTCAGGGTAACCTATACTGTACTACAAATAATGGCGACTCGCCATTTATGAACATGGAGTTGATAGTAGGGTACAATA